TTTTTTGGGGTGAGATCACATCTATTATTAATAATATTGAGTCTTAAGTTTGAAAATTATGTTTTTGAGTATTATGTAGTAAATTAACTCTAATCTTTGATTATTAATCAATTTATGAAGCCTAAAATTGACAAAATCAGGCCAGTCGATGTATGAATACTTCAAATTTTGATCGCCAAGAGCTCGTGTGAAATTGATTTAAGAAGTACATATAATAAATTTGATCAAATTGATCACACATGAATTTGACTCTGGTATAATCCCTCCCTATATATTAATTCAAAACGTGTTGAGTTAGGTGATAGATTCTCATGCTTCGGATGCTGATCAAATTGATCACATATGAATTTGACTCTGGTATAATAATATATAAATATAAACACACAAGAAGTACAAAATTCAACAAAATGAAATATGGTGCATGTCTGGCGAATTTAATTTTTTAAGCAAAGAAATTAAAAGAAACTGTCAAAACTTGAGAAATAATATATTTTTTTGACTTGCATTATAACACTTGTAAGGAGAAAGTAGGCATAGAAGAAAAATATTTATCTTTTTATGAAAAATAAAAATAAAAATACTACTATATATCATTGTACCTCGGTAGAAATTTAAATTCCCTTTATTTGGAAACAATTAGTAAAATCAATGAAAAAAAGTTTAATGTTTTAATAATTCATTACTATAATCTTTTGAATTGATATGTGATAAAAATATATTTAATTAAGTATGATATAAATATAGTAAAATAATGATTGATAGTTAAAAATATGTGTAAAATATATAGTGATCATTTATTGTTGGAAAACATTAGTAATGATTAGTTAGCATTGCTTTAAATTTTGAAATACAAAGTTATGGAAAATATTGTAGTTTGTGAGGTTTGTGAATATAAAAAAGACAGCTTAAGGAAAATGAAGAAAACGAAACAAAAATCAAAGTCTAGGCACATAATAATTACGTTCTCTTCAAGACGAACTTGTCTCGTAAAATATAGACGGTTAAAGGCAAATGTCTCCAAGATACAACGACTTTTGACTTGTATATAGTTCTATTCATATATACAAGCCCTCGGTGAACAATATTGTTGTTTGGAACTCTCAAAACTCAACGAAAAAAATCAAAACACACAATATGTTTTATAACTTTGAAAATGTAATGCAAGAACTCTTAACCTTTTCAAAATGTGATCATGTATGTGGGTATTTATAGATGTAAGAGTACACCTCCAAAGAGATTTAAGTGTCAAAAGACACATTTTGGAATGTATCCAACCGTGATCGAACGCTGCTAAAGCCTAAAAGACACCTTATGGCCACCAAAGTCGCGACCTTTCGCTGGCTGTAGCCAACTGCGACTTAGTACTCCACGAGCTCGTACAAGCTCATCCAGACTCGTAATCAAGTTTCATTTTTGGTCGAACCACTTCTCCAATACCAAAAAAAAATGATAGTCCATCTCTACATAAACTGTCAGTGATAAGTTTGAAATTCATATAACTATCATCTAATTCATCAAACTTATCAATGATCAACTAGATTTACCATAAACCTATCTTATATGTTAAGTTTGATCTTGGTTCAAGATTATCCTCACTATTTTAATTGATTTTCCAACTTATCAATAACAACTTTTTAAAAAATAAATTAATGTCAAACATATTTTTTAACAAAAAATACAATTCCCAACAAGCAATAAATTTGACTCTAGTTTTTTATAAGACAAAAATAAGTTGACACTTCAATTAATAATTAATTGACACTTCAATTGGTAATTAAACATAATAAATAAATAAACATAAAATAAAAATAAAAATAAAAGGATAAAATGCTATATCAACTCTACTCCTCTCCCTCCATCTCTCTTCCTCAACCGCTCTACTCTATTGTGAATTACCCATTTTGCCCCTATCACCAATGGCTAATTACTCGGAGGCCCACGTCTGCCAGTGCTTGAGCCGCCTCGCCACCGTCCGCCGCAGCTCCGCCGTGACCGTATACGGTGGACGCCGGAAAACCGGGCTGCAATTTGTTGAAGGTGTTACGGGCTTGGCCCGTGGGCTTCTCCAGCTCGGCGTCAAGCCCGGAGACGTCGTCTCCATCTCTGCACTCAACAGGTTTTTTCGAGCTTCGTATTTTTCAGAAGAAGAGAAAATTGTTTACTTCGAAGAGTTTCAATGGGTTCATTTTAGTTTTTACCAGTAATTTATCATTTTTTTTTTTTATTTTTTTTGTTCATCGAGAAAGAATTTTTCATTTGTTGTAGAACTGACCTCAAAGATTACATTTTTATCTGTTTAGTTCATCCTAAAATTGTTCTGATCTTGTTTTCATGTGCCATCTTTGTCTAATTTAAGGAAAAGTACATTGTTGTGGTCTTAATTTTCAGTGACTTGTATTTGGAATGGATGCTTGCTATTACTTATGTTGGAGGAATTGTAGCTCCACTGAACTATCGATGGGTTAGTAAAATAAATAACCGATTAATCGTTTCATGTTTCTGCATAATCAACCATTTAGTCCAATCTACGAATGATCTTGTGATAAGGAAGTTCGGTTATCCGTTTCAGTGTTGCGAATCGTGATCCGAGTAATTATTTGCAGAGTTTGGAAGAGGCTCGTTCGGCAATGGAGTTAGCAAGACCCGTTTTGTTAGTAACCGATTCAAGCCGTGGTTATTGGCATTCCAAGTTTCAGATGGGTTCTGTTCCGTTTTTACGATGGCACGTTTTGATGGATACGAAAGTTGAAGCTGAGAGTAACGGGACAAGTATATATTATCGACATACATTGTGATTTGGATTTCATATTTCTATGTATTATTTATGTTACATTTCACGCATCTCTTGTCTTGGAATTACAGTTTTCGCATCTGAATTAGTTAAGGAGATTGGTGGAGGATTTGCTGATGTAGACTATAGATGGGCACCTGAAAGAGCCGCGATTATATGCTTCACGTCAGGTATA